AAAAAAAGTGTTATTATAAAATACAATATTCTAAAATGCGGATTTATGGGGATAGATAAATTAAATTTGTGTAAAAGTGTTTGTTAAAATTTAAATCTTGAGTTACCTTTTAGACCATTTCTAAAAGGTACCTCAAGAATTAAATGAAAAAAATTTTTCAATACCGATTAATATTAGTTCAGCTACAAAAACAAACTTCAACTTTTGAATATAAAGTTCATTAGTCTTTTAACAAACTATAAATGTGTGCTCAACAAATAATAGTTAATTATACAATATGTAATACTGTAACTTCAAATCGGATACCCACAGAAAAAAAATTGTTTACTACTTCCGCGCACAGTCGAGACGCCATTGATTGACGATTTACTCGATTCATTTCTTTTTTAGGAAAATTTGCAGCTGTCCCTTGCTGTGCTTTTCGTCCCATTATGAAATCCTACTGTCTATACAAATTTTAATAATATACAGAAATAAATTTAAAACATTATCATAGTTAATCTTTGTAAGAGAAATTTGGACTTAAATGTTATCCGTATTTTTTTTAATTTATTTATTTAGGTCCTTCACAGCTAACAGTAAGTACATGTAGAAAATTTACAGAGTATTACGCCAATTACGAAATACACAATATAACAGGTAGAATAAGTAAACCTAAAGTAAAGTATTGGGTACCTTCATGTTTCTGCCTCTCCCACTCCCTTCCCGTACTGTTAGACCTATACTACTGAATTAATATTACCGAACGAATGATTCATTCATGTTAAGTCGGTGTGAAGAGGGTTCGCATGATGGCAAGATCGAACCTCGCAATGGAAAAAGAAAAAAAGACACAAATCGCTTAAAATACCAACGGAGATTGAAAGTCAGAACTAATTTTGCATGCTCTTCTTTTTATTGATACAAATTCATAGAAAAGTTGACGAGAATTTCTGCTTTGAGTATAATGATTATTGATGATAGAAAAAGCTAAATAGGTATATCGCTGTTGTGCTTTGAAGTCTAAGATTTTTATTGAAGTGTTTCTACGCAGTAGATACTTAAGTACTTACGAAATACTTTCAGATTTATCGTAGAGTATCAATGTAAAACAATCATATTCATACAAATACAAAAGTTATAAGTTAAAAAGTCGTTTATTAAAGGAAACGGAATTGCCGGGACCTAAATGATTTATCAAGAAACCGTGGGAGCAGAAACTCTCGATCAAGTTCTGACCCGGCATCGAACCGGATTTACCGACCTCTATTTTGGACAATATTTTTTATTCAAAAACCTGTAGTTGAACTCTAAAGCTCCCGCAAATCGATATCGCGTTCCGAATTTAAAATGTCGCGTCCCCGCCATTTTTGCCGGATCTAATGAACTATTAAACTGCAATTTGGATGCGCGATGGTTGTTAGATGGCGCTGTGCGCACGTATTGATCGCGCGATGGGGGCCAAATATCTCCACATCGAGTTCTGCCAAGTCACGGAATGTATTGCTAGCTATTGTGGCGAAAAATGGGGGGGTCGAGATGAGCGTGGAACGAGCCTGGCCGGCTTTGGCGCACCTAGTGTAATCCAAAGATTTATATGTGCCCCTCTATGCGTAGGTAGGTACGTTGGAGTTTTTTAATATTAATCTGCGTGTGTTCATATCATAAGTAGTGGATAAGTTTGGGAAAAGTTTTTATTGTGGCAGTTATGATTTAAGCCGTTTTGATTTACATATTGTAATTTAAACGAGAGATTTTAATTTGTATCAGGATGACGTAATAACAAACTATGTACATTTATTAAAATTATATTAATAATGCTGCTGTTTACTGCTGAGTTTGAATAAATAGAAAGAGAGAAAGCGTAGGTATTGTTAACTCACTTGAAAAAGAAGTGCTCAATTTTATGATAGGTATCTTCCAAGAAAAGGTAATAAATATAACCTTTTCTTAAAATGGGCTCTTTTGCTAAGGCCAGTGCTGAATTTATAATGTTCGGAAGTATTTATTATGGGAAGGCCTTAGCTACCGTCGAAATAAAAAATAAAGACATGAAAGTAGTTTTATTAAACTTGTAAGTTGCTAAATCGCCGCTCATTGTTAACTCTGAAAGGGAAATGATTAAAAAAAGCAGATATTCAATATGGATAGAATATATGTTTTAAGAATTTGATGCGGTAATCAGTGTTCCGCCTACGACAGGAGCTTTTGCCAGGAACTAAGCCTGCCATATTTACGAAAGATTACTTCATCGTTGGCAGTTTAACCTTCTTACAGTTTACCACAATACACAAAGTCTATTCTTATTATTATAATATATCCTTAATTTCATGTTTCACAGAAGACATTTTTGGTTAAATTTGTACCCAAAGAAAAAAGCTTTTTTCATTTATTTACACTTGTGATCTCATGACCATGTCGCGCAATGTATTTGATAATCATTGGAAAAAATGCGAAGTTTAAATTCAAAATGTCAATACATGACCTTTTTTTTAAAGACAATTAGGAATCGATCGTTCCCACCTTCTTGTAATGTACCATAGACGTTGGACCTATTTTGGTTAAATATAAGTAACTCAGAAAAGGTTGAATACAAATAAGTTGGAACTCTTTGTAAACTTATTTCGAGAATTCAGTTTATCAGAGATGATCTATATTGAATACTGCTTAAATAAATAAGACCTTTACTAAGGGATGAAGGGATGCAATAAATTAGGTATTTACGGTATGAGTGGAATCTGGCACTTGCATTTATTAGAAGGAAAGTTACCTAGTTATTGTTGAAGTCGGGAAATTGTTTTTGATTTTTGACAAGTAATAGATGTATTTTATGTTTTATTCCTAAAATGAGCGGACTGTAGGGAATCCGAGTATTTTGATATTGAAAGCACCCACGCGAAAGATTAGGCGAGATTAAAAAACTAGCAAACTTTATTTTGTATCAACATGCAATATAATAATAATACTTCATAGTATATGTAATTTCCCAGGGAACATATCTTAGGAGGGTTATGTTTTTTTTAATTGTAGGTATGTGTAATTGTTTAGCACGCTCTGCGGCCTGAACGGCTCTATGGATGTTAGCTTGAAAAGTGTTGTTAGATTCGTATTTACTGTGAGAGTGACACTGGTAGTATATCAAAATAAAAAAAAACAAAGTGGCGGATTTTTGGCGCCAAATTCAAATGTTTGGCACGCTCTGCAGCCTGAACGGCTCGATGGATTTTTTCACGCAGTTGGGTGTTTTGTTAACCGACTTCAAAAAAAGGAGGAGGTTCTCAATTCGACTGTATTTTTTTTTTCATGTTTGTTACCTCAGAACTTTTTTTTCAATAATTAGCTTGTCTAATAACCTTAGTTTAACTTTTACCTACAATTAAATGAAAAAAAATGGTCAAATCCGTTAAGACGTCCTCTTTTCGAATTTGAGTGTCTTTAATTTGAACTATCAAAATATTTAAATTCCGTGACATAACAGATTGCAATTTTGACTAGGCCCCTGTAGCTTTTTGTGACCCGTTTTATTTGCCCACACACATGTTAAATAAGTTTTTTGACTATCTCTACTTTTGTATACCTACCCATGCCATACTCCGTGTGCAATATAATTTGCTTGAACTTTGTGGTTCGTCACCTGGATGACTTCAGTATAATTATTATCATATTTAGCAATAATTATTATGAGTATTATGACTCACGAAACTGAGGATAATTATAGAAAACATTGAAAGGAAACGTAGTTAAGCGATGCTGCAATAGGCCGCTACACGGATGGGTGATGTTGGATAAACACTAATATCACTCTGTAAGGAAAAAAGGCTAGTAATAAAAAAGTACAAGCTGTTAAGAATACCAGTGACAGTTATAAATTGCTAAACCTATGACTAATGAGCATTGTGCAAAAAACGAGGATTTTGTGCCTATTAAGTTAGATTTAGAAGCAGATCTTGAATGTACTTGTTTCAAGCTAGCCTTACTATCGAGTTCACTATGTAGACCTGTACTGGCATTCTCCATATATAAACTGCGCACTTCCTGGTGTCATCGTTCTAACGAACTAAGTTTATTATTAAGTAGTTTAACATAAATAACACTTAAAACACTTTGCATAGCTAGAGCCATCTATATAATATTACAAAAAACGAAATATATTTCTTTTAGCGCCATCTAGTAGCAGTTTAATTTAACTAACTTTATCTCAAAAACAAAATCTACACTAACTTAATTTCGCTATCGCTAGGGAGCGCTATAGTAAGTTTCCTATTTTTATAAATTAATTAATTCTATTTCTACAGACGATGCTACAATAATAAAATTGTATAACGATTGAATAACGGGCAATGTCATTTCGTATGGAACCATATCTGTATAAATATGTTCTTTGTACTTTCATCTCTCGTCCATCTCTTTAATAACATCGTCTGTGCCCCAAAGATAATGTTATTAAAGAGATTGACGAGGGAATTGTGTTTAAAGAAAACATCTTAATTATATTTCAAAAGTCAATAAAAGTATATAAGTACTGCTTTAAGAGCGTACTTCGAAATTTTCACCAATCGCAACGCTGCGAGAGCGAGTTGATGTGAAATAAACTGAAAGTGACAGAGAGAGGCAGAGAAGTTGGGGCGGATGAGGGGAGACAGAAGGGGTAGACGAGCAGACGGGTCACCTGATTCAGGTCACCCGTCTGCTCGTCTGCCTCCAAAACTAGGGCCTTTTCCTTTTGCTAACTTCAGAAAAAAAGAAAGAACAGTAAGAATATCAGCCATTTGGTAGGAATTTAATGCATTGCTCATTTAAGTGTGTATGCTGGGAAATCGTATGGCTAGCAGTGGACTGTTTAAAGATGTTAATGTAATATGGGATGTGATAGCGCAAGTAAAAACCTTCAATAATGTATATTTAAATAGGATACATTTGGCAGAAATGAAACAAAGGAAATATTACGTACTTGTGTATTTGTAAAATGTACAAAAATATTTAAAAAATAATACCATTGTTCTTGAGCTTGTGCTAACGTGTCAGGGTCCAGGCAAGTCATGGTAGCGTATTGGATACGTGAGCATGTTGCCGCGGTCCCACGAGTACAGCTCCTAGAAACGAAATATGGCTGTACGTAAAACCTAACGCCATCTAGTTTCAAACTAAGCAGAGCTTGTACTATGAAAGCTAGATTGACTGATACAATAATTATATACTTTTTATTTAAACACACATTTTATTTTTATATTATGCATAGAAAACACCCAAATTCCGAAACAAATATTTTCAGATCATACAAACATTTGGTCCGACCCGTCAATTGAACTCGAGATTTTAGCACAGCAGTCGCACTGTTTTACTAAAACCAAATAACAAGTTTAAATGGTGAATCGAATTGGAATTCGGTGAAAAGCAACGAGAAAATTGCGTAACACGGGTTTTCTGCGAGCCCGTGTTATCTCTCCGCTCGACCCACACGCGCCAAAGTATCTCTTTCCCACGGTTTGGTCTTTGTTATAATACTGTTTTAAATATATTAGAGAAAACATCGAAATCAAGTCCATTGGAAAACATCGAAAATAAAATCAATTACATGGTAACAGAGTATGTAATAGGACATGTCTCTGTCGCGGGAGATTAGACGCTCACCTTATGCATATGGTCATATCCAAGCTGTGTGGTCTTCCTGAAAGGGTTTGTAAACTGTAAAGATACTTCTACGGGTTTGCTTTGGTACAGGTCGATGGCGACAGAGACCTTGCTCTCTCGCTCTGTCGCTGAATCTAACGCGTATAGTACGCCACATACTATGAACATTTCGCCTACCTGAAAGGTGAATTTGAAATTAGAATCTTGCGTCGGCCATTTTGTGTAATTAAACATTGGACTGAGGTGGTCTAGTCTTGAAATTTATTTGCTTATCTACAAGGCACTAGGTGCCTTGAAGCGCGGCGCGAAGCAGGCCGGGGTCTCGCTCTTGCAGGAACATATCGTCGTAGACCGTGGGCAGGTGGTTTTTGAAAACCATACATAACATATTCTTGGTGACATTTTTAAACAAGATTTTATGTGTGCAAAAACTAATGATGGTCGGTTGAGTAGAAATTTTCAGTGTTCTGTCAAGGAAATTAGTAAGACAAAATACGCAATACCAAGATTATACATACTTGTTTGTTGTTAAGTGAAATGTTCCAAGTATAGTCGATATTCAAACCATCTTTATTCGGATCGAAGCTAAGCTGAAACAAAATAAAGTATACCTAAAGCAGGTCCAGAGGACGGAATATCAAGAATTTTATGGCTGCTTTCTAATTTTTACATTATGGAATGACACGATGTCCTGTGACGTGTGTCCAGTGCCATATGGCCTTACCACACACAACCTTACCTTACTCAAGGGTTCTTGAACACGCAAATACGATATAGCAATTCCTCTTCTGCTGTTGCGTTTTGAATTGCTTTGTCACATCGAGCGTGTTGTATTGATTTGCATTTGAAGAAGAATTGAGTAAGGATCCTTATAGCCTTATAATGATTCTTAAATCTTTGATATAGTTAAGTGTTTTTGTCATCGTGTGTCGTGGGATAAACGTTGCGTGACTATCAATATTATTTGTTCTGAACTGGGGCTGTATTTATATAATATCGAAGTAATCACCCATGCAATCGACGCATCTTTGCCAACGCATTGGCAGTATATTGATGCCCTTCTTGTAAAAATCAGCTGGACGGGCGGCAACAAACTCTTCAAAGGCATTTTGTACTGCCTCTCGGGAATTGAATTTTTTAACCACTAAAAAGTTGTCTAAATTTTGGAAAAAGTAATAGTCGGTAGGTGCAAGGTCTGGTGAGTATGGCGGATGAGGGAGAGCTTCCAACCCCAGCTCTTGCAGCTTGGACTGTCTGTTGCGCAGTATGGGGTCGCGCGTTGTCGTGAAGGAGCAGTGGGGACGACCGACTGACCAAAGCTGGTTGCAGATGTGCAAGCTTCTCCATCATTCTCTCCAGTTCTTCACAGTACACATCTGCATTAATGCCCATGCCGTTCTGTAAAAAGCTGTGGTGAATCACACCTGCACTAGACCACCAAACAGTGACCATCACCTTTTTAGGGGTCATTTTTGGTTTAGAGTATTGCTTTGGTGCTGAACCAGGGTCTAACCAACTTGCTGAGCGCTTTCAATTGTCGAACAGAATCCATTTTTCGAGTTTCGTCAGCTTCCACAGTCGCCTTTAATTCATTATTGTTAACCAAAGTCTCCGGACGACCACGAGCTTCATTTTTCATGTCAAAATTTCCAGAACGGAACCGGGAAAACCAATAACGGGTTGTGCGTTCGTTTGTACAGTTCTCTCCGTAAACGTTTTTGATGTTACGTGCCGTTTGTGTCGCGGTGGTGCCACGACGGAACTCATATTCCATAATTACACGAATTTTTAAAGTATCCATTATGACGAAAAATGTTCAAATGTAATGAAAATACAACGCTAATCAAAAAACAAGACTGACTTTGTAAATAGAAAGTCATGGTTTTAACAAACTTTTTTTTATTTGAAATGACCAGTATTGAAGAAAGGCAATTTCATAGGTAAAGACCTAATATTATTTATTTAGTAGTATAATAAGTATGTTTATCAATCGTCTTGGTACCATCATATAGACTGGTATATAAAAAAATATATAAAAATGTTACCTGATTGTCAGTAGATGTCGCTTTTTTATTCAATTCATATCGTAGTTAACTTTAATAGAAGTTTAAACAGAGACTCAAATATTTTGAGTTCTCAATGTATTTAAATATCAATTGGAATGATTATTCCTATAGGAAATAGTACGTTAGAAAGTACCTTGGCTACTGCAGTGTTGTTAGATCCTTCCATGGAGTAAATAGCCCAGAGTCCATTGTCATCAGCACTTAAATCCACCTGGGGAATACCACCATATGATGAAGATCAAAATTAACCACTATGATTCTGTTGAATATCCATATCTCCTTTTTCCCAGACTCGGAACAACAATTTATGGATCACACAAAGTGTCGTCCCATGTGGGGTTTGAACCCACAACACTCGGCGTAGTAGGAAGCGGCGTGGCGACCGCTTAAACCACTACGCCATCCGTGCAGTCAACAAGTAAGAACAGTTTAATTTGTAAAACTTTTAACATATCTTTCTTTTGTGTTGGTAATTTTAGAGACCGCTAATAGAATAATTTTAGTTAATAATAATAATTTAATACCAATAATTTTAGTTTATTTCTGTGTTTACTTCTAGCAAATATACAATAGATAGACTTTCCCTGATAAAAATGGCCGCGCCGCCACCGCCAGCTTGAGCGCAAAGCGTCAGATAGCATAACTGTGGAGTTGGTACTGATCACATCAACAGCCTTTAATAGTCCACTGCTGGACATAAGCTTCTCCTGAGAAAGGAGGTTTTGGCCTACTATACCACGCTGGCCAGACGTGTTGGTATAGGGTTTGTGTCAAGTTTTCCTTCTCTCTGCAGTGCTGTTGTTCTGCGTAGTTTTGACCCTTAGTCGTCTCTTACGATACCCACGGGATTAATAGGGGTGGTGATACTCTGTATTCTTAATCCGTCACCACCGATTGGTGCCCATCAAATTTCTATAATATAACGAATGATATTAATGATCACCAAGTGCTTGGATTACTTATTGGTGCTTGTACCTGATTATGCTGTGCGGCGTATAACCTCCCATCAGCGAATGGCAACTTCACTGACTTGATCCTGCTCTGCGTCAGGTCATACCGAATAATCTCGCCAGGATTTCCGGACTCATTAGCTTGGTAGAAGAATGAACCACTATATACTATGTGACCGTTACCCTGGGAACAAATAATTACATCTATTACATTTAAATATCATCATCATTAACAGCCTTTAATAGTCCACTGCTGGTCATGGGCCTCTTCTAAGAAAAGAAGTTTTGGCCTACTTTACCATCTGGCCGGACGGGTAGGTATAGGGATTTTTTCAAGTTTTCCTTCTCTTTGCAGTGTTGTGCTCTCTTAGTCGGCTATTACGACACCCACGGGTTGAACAGGGGAGGCGACCGTATTCTTAATCCGTCACCACACGGGTTATAGCCAAAGATAGATACTTGAAATCACTCTAATTAATCAATTTAAATATTAATGAAAACCAACATTCAAATGTCAGATTGACTTATTCATAAAAAGCCCCGAATGTTCAGGCTTTATTATGAAATTTGCATACACGCTGCCAGCGTATCAGGGATGTAAACCCTTTACATGCAAGGTCATTAAATATTGTCTCAGTACTTACGAAGAAAGGCTTCTGCAGTTTGTGGAACTCATCCACATCTCCTTTCTTGAAGGAAACTTTACTTCTATATTCCCTTAACCTGTCGACGTCATCCTCTTGGGTCGTCCATAATTTCTCCCTCTGAAATGTCAATAAATTGATTATGAAATACTAACTGTATTCACCCACGCTTTGCGGTAGAACATTGTGGTTTAATTGATGTGAAATGAAGGGACAAAAGTGGCGCGAAAAATAAAAAACGCAATCTTTAACACTTCTTGCCTGTTGTGTAAAAATTTTATCTTTTTGAGTTTTTGAAGCGTTAATAAACGAAATTAACATTTTTATGTATCTTAGGATGTTATGAACGGCAAAAGTTTGTACGGATGGATGGATATTTGTTACTCTTTCATGCCAAAATAGCTGAACGGATCTATATGAAATTTGAAAAAAAAGGTAGATAGTTTATAGTCTGAAATAGCACATAGGCAACATTTGATCCCGAAAAAAGTAGTGTTCCCGTGGGATTAGCAAGGTACAACAACAACCGTAGGCAACACCGCGAGGCGCAGTTAGTATAGATTCCACTCCTGGAGAGTGATGATGCACGTTCACATAATAATATATTTTTACTAGCCCTTAACACAGCAAGAAATGGTTTATCGAATACAAAAAATATTTTCCAATTTAGCGAGTTCCAGAGATTAGCGAGATAAACTGAAATATTTCTTTAGCTTCACTATATTAGGACTAGCCGTTACTCACAATTTCGAAGAGTTATAGGGGATGCTTAAGAATAGTTTATTATTAAAGAAAGCTTATAAACTGAGTGACCAAATGAAAAAAAACAAATTGGATTGAAATCAATAGGGATTTACGCGTTAAGCTAAATTGTACGCATTTAGAGCATATTTTAACATTAAAGTTAGAAATTGAAGTTGAAGGCATTTATGCACATAAAATCTTCAGCAACCGTTTTTTACAGCTTGTCATCGACAAATGTTGTTTTGAGATTTCCACCAATAAATTAATATTGACCAATTCTGGCCTCCAATTACATCCACGTAACAAATAATAATGAAAGTATCCTATAAAATATTTATTTTGTTTATTTATAATTTAGATTAAAATATCTTTGTCCTATACCTGAGCATCTGTTGCATTAGAATCTCGAAGCCAGGCTCCAAATAATTCGTCTTTATATCTATGGTACACAGGTTTCCCTATAGCATACAGTTGACAATCTGAAAAATAGATAGTAACTACATATTAATAGATTTTTAGCGTTCCGTATCTCAAAAGAAAAGAAGGAATCCTTACAGGATACTTCGATGTCCGTCTACCTGTATGTATAGAACTGCTCTCAAGAGCGTTCTTGAGAACAATTCTAAACGTACAGGAAGACAGACTGCCATTGATGGACTGACAATGCGTATTGTGATTAATTAATTATTCATACCATGAGTAGTCGTTTTTTTTAATTATGGAAGAGGGGGCAGATAAGCAGGCGGGTCAAGTGATGGAAAGCGACTATTGCGGCTCATGAATGCCTGCAACTCAGGAGTAACAAACGCGTTGTCGACCTTTTAGAAAGGAGTACGCCTTTTTGTTAAAGGTTTGAAGTTCGTATCCGTCTGGAAATACCGCAGACGATAACTTGTTCTACAGATTAGTTGGGAGAGGCAAAAAGTGTAAAACTAGTATGTCAAGCCTCGTATGTGGTGATGTAAACTATTGACACATCGATCCAGCCCCGCCCCCTGACCAATCAGGTTCCAAGAAATTATCGTTTCGTGCGAAAGCTTGGAACCTTATTGGTCATTGAGCGAGCCTTGATCGATGCGTCACTATTTTCTTAACGCAAATGGACTAAAATTATCTAACTATGTAAACAAATCTTATATGTTAATTATAATCTACGTTTAACTCGATACGACTATTGAAATGAAACTGCATGTAGTTTGGATGATAACTATAGTTTGGCATATTGGAGCTGATCGGATTATGTAGCTAACAGCTGGATACTAGAGCTCTTCAGTGACTTCTAGTAAAACCACAAGTTTGGGTTGCATTGATTAGTTTCGATGAGTGTAGCAGGTTGGTTTTGGTAACGAAGGTCTGTTAAAGTCAGAAGGTAGATATTGGAACTCCTATTTATTTTCCAATTCCTAAGAAACCTTATGCTGGAGTCGATGAACTTCAAAAAAGTGATTTGCTTAACTGCAAGCCCCATTCTGAAGTGCAATTATGTGTAAAAATGTAAATACATATAATATATATATATATCAAGTGCTTCTCTTCAATAAGGTAGAGATCATCTAAACCTGTAGTGGTTATGTCAGTTACTTACTAGCATTTCTCCTAGCTTTATAAGGAGAAGTTCCGTTAATGCTGGATATGAGGAGCTGCGCTCGGTCACACCGTGGGCAAGATGGACACCGTTGCACTTGGCACAACTCCTCGTACGACGTCAGGGTCGGTGGTCTGGAACCATACTCCATTGGCTGCTGTATTGGTGGTGGCTGGTTCGGTCCTGGATCTGATGATGAAATAACACAAGGTAGCTATGAATTGGTTTTAAAAAATGTGAGAAACACTCATTGTGGGTAGTCATGCATACTAAATGTAGAAAATAATATTTCATCATTTGTACTATCTCGGTGTACTTTATCTATAATATGTATGTATTTAGAAATATATTAGTATATTTTTCAGCAGTTTGGTTACCATAGCACAGAGTCTGCCTAGTATGGGATCAGACGGCCGTGTGTGAAATGTGTGAAAATATTATTATTGAAAAAACTTGAAAATTATAAACATGGGCGCTTTATGAAAGGGATAAACGGAAATTGAATGCAGTTTTTGTAATCCTAGTGTTCTTCTTTCTTCTTTTCTTTAATTAATAGCCAAAGTCTAAATGTCTTATTTTACTTACACATTAACTGAATTCGTCCTTTCACAGTTTGGTTATTGAGTTCATTTTTGGCCACGCAGCTGTAGTGTCTTAGATCGTGATCCCTGATACCGGGGATTTCGAGTCTCATGATCCAGCGCCAAGAGTCGGATGTGGGTGCCACTTCAGTTAAATAACGCTGACCTTCGAGGGTAATGTCGTCGATTTCCCAGGCTAGTACTGGTTCGGGCCACGCTTGGATCTAAAAATATCGTAACACACTTAAGCTTGAAGAGTGGGTTCGATTCCCACCCAGGACATATAACTGTGAGATGAGCACGATCATTTCTCCTGCGTCTGGGTGTGTTTTATTTATAATATGTATGTATTTAGAAATATATAAGTATGTTTAGCAGCAGTCTGATTACCATAGTACAAGCTCTGCCTAGTTTGGGATCAGACAGCCGTGTGTGAGATGTGTGAAGTTATGACCGTGAATCGCAAGTGCAACTACGAGTAGTGTGGAAAAGATTGTAGTATGTTGCAATTAAAAAACACTTATAATTAATTTAATTAAGATCATTGAATTGGTTTGATTAATACTTTTGAATACAGAATATTTTGGATATCACCCAAACAAAAGGTAAATAGGGAAACGCTTTCAAACTCAACAAATAATACATAAAAAGAAAATCGACAATTAGATTAATTAAATATTACGAATTCTCAAATTGCATGTAAAACTTTCAGCTACTGTACATTTCTCATAAAATATTACTGTGCAAATTATGATATCTTACCTCACACTCCAGCTTGGCAGTTTTATTGTAAACGTAGACGATATTTTTCAGCACGCGGATGTATGGGCTGACTGAAAAAATATTTAAAAGTTTCAAGACAAGATTTTGTAGGTATTTTGAACTATTTTGAACAGAAATAAAGCCACTTATATAAACTTATCGTGAAACGTAACTTAACATGAAAAAATATTTTATAAAAATCAAACATATAATCTAACGATGTGTAAAGATAGAAATATGATTTATGTAATTACACGAATAGCTGATTTACCATAAATCGTTTTTTTAAATATCGCTTTCAAAATTAGGCTGTAAGCGTGCGCGTGCGCAGGTCGAATGCAGTTCAGTGCATACTTTTTTTAAGGAATAGGGAGGCAAATGAGCAGTCTGGTCACCTGATGGTAAGTGACTACCACCCCCCATGGATACCTGTAACTGAAGAGTCACAAGTGCGGTGCCGCCCTATCTTTTCTACGTTAAAGGGGAGGATTTGAGCCTCGATAACCTCACTCCTTTGGAATACCAAAGGCTGTCGATGATGATGATGATGATGAACCTCACTTACTCAGTAAAAAGCAAAGACAGAGCTGTTTAACACTAGTTTTCTGTAAGGCTGTGGTATCGCTAAGTGGGAGAACCACGCTAAACATTAACACACAATTCAACTTACATCGGACTTCAACATCTGTGGTCTGGTTAGCTGACGGCAACATGCCGTTGTTAGCGAGGCACACGTACTTGCCCGTGTGCCATCTGGACACGTGTGGGATGGTCAGCATTTGTCCACTGACAGAAGCATCACGCCAAGAACCCTGGAACAATAAATCGTTTAATATAATTATATATTTAATTACAGGATGGACAGACGACACGCTATTTTATCTAGTAAAAAGTAGGTACTGTAACCGATAGTCAATATAACGTTTACGCAAGCGGGGCTGCGGATGAAAACTAGTTTATGACAAGCTGAGCTGAGCTTTATAACTCCTGAGTTGCAGGCGTTCTTTGGCAGCGGTGGTCACTTTCCATCAGGTGACAAGTCTGGTCGTATGAAAGGACAGAAATAACAATAACCCTTTGAAAAGCTTTTGAATCTGTCAATAACAAAACACAATTATTTAATTAATTTGAATAATTAAGTTCTATATAAGTCCTATAAATCCAATTCCATTCGTTTATTTCAAATCCAATTAATAATTTAATTATCGTTTTCGTTTTAAAATACTATAAATACTTTGTAAGCTTATTAGTTTGCTTTTATTTATGAATTTTCAGTTTAGAACGCATATTTGTCAAACGGTTATGTAATTTTCTGCTATAGTTTATCAGGAAAAAACAATTTTATTTATGTATGAGGACCTAAAACAGAAGAGAATAAACAGAACTGGAGCATTTATACACTCAGTTAAACAGTTAATGGGGTAATATTCACGGAATACTGGCAACATTATCACATTTAGCAATTAAAAAAAAAAACATTGTCGAAAAAAAAATTGACCAATATTTATGGCTATTAAAGTCTTTGTATTTCGATGTCGAGAATCGTGTTATAATTTAATTAGAACATTCGATAAGAATTCATAAAAGGAACTAATAATGAGTTATTAGAAGTGAGCTTCAAGAAGGTAATTACCTGAATAATGGCTGTTCCATCAGCTCTTCGCCACTCCACCGTCGGGTCAGGTCGACCTGATGGGTTACAGCTAATTCTTAGTACTTCACCCTCGCGGACTAATACACGAGATTTTTCCTCTGTAGATAAAAATAAATTTCTGTTTTCAAATTATGATTAAAACAAGACGTTTTTAAATTGTTTAACAGTCCACGTGAAGTTAAATTTCCAAGTTTCTTATTATTTCCAATTGTTAAACCAATTCTCAAAAGTAGATTATGTCACAAAAGCCAGGAATGACTAAAAAAATGGCCTTCCATTTTAAATAAACTGTGATTTATGGCATTTGCTTATTGATGACATTTGCTAATGGCAGCTGCCATTTTGTAAAATAACTTCAACCGGATCAGGGCGTCCGTGTTTGTTTATTTTGTCTTTTTTTAATAATAATAAAATCAATTTATGTTTTACTTTTATATGTCAGATTTGGCCGCGATTTACTCGATAGTCACGGTGAGCGCGTTTGGCGCTGCGATTGGTCAGCACTGAAATCTGCACCAATCGCAACGCCAAACGCGGTCGCTGTCGAAAGCGAGTTGATGTGAAATAAACTTGCACAAGACCCTCAGATGTTACACGTTGAATGCGACTATTGTAAGGCTTTTTTTAATGTCTCTAAAAAGTAGATGGATGGACCATGTATTACATTGTACTTCTCTATTACTTTCTCCCATGTTATCGACTTATTACAGAATCGAAAGTTCTTAAAAGAAACGAAACATGAGAGAAGAAACGTATTTACTTACGGGCGAATGTAGGTGGTATAAAAAGTTCCTTTTCAAGAGTGTTGTTGTAAATAGAGAGACCTGGTCGTCCGGGAGCACCATCATGTCCATCATTGCCTCTCTGACCTTTGGCTCCTATTGCACCCCGCTCACCTTTTGGCCCTCGAAGACCCGGAGGACCAGCAACTCCTGGTCTACCTGTTTTAAAAAAGAAGCATTAATTAAGTCCGTATTGGTTGGCTTCTTAAAGCTCTGCTCTTGTAGTACTTAAAGCTCTGCTTTTAAGTAACACTTACCGTCTTTCCCGTCTTTTCCATTCTTTCCTGGGCTACCATCCTTTCCCGGGATGCCATCGCGACCGTCTTTTCCTGGGGCCCCGTCGGCGCCATTTCTTCCAGACATACCATCCAGCCCCGGTTCACCTGGCACCCCATCTCTGCCATCAAGACCAGGATTGCCAGGATAGCCTCGCTCGCCTGTTTAAAAATAGTGCTTTCTTTCATCACACTACAACAATTTTTATAGAGAATAATTGTATTTGTCGCACTATTGTCTAAAGCCTTATCAAAATATAGAATGCGTATTTTACAGTATGTCATAATTATAGTTTTTGTGTTTTCAGGGGCATAGATCTGACAAAAGAGAAAATAAATTCATTCTTAGTCTGAGGTGAGATTTAGATGTAATGGAAAGCATTCTTTGACGCAGGAGTTGGTGACAGTTGGTGGCTGCAGGTGATCGATCATCTCAAAACAAATGATAGTAAGAAAATAATAGTTGAATATAAGACTAAAAGAAGGAGAAACTTAAATATCTGGTTACCTTTTGGCCCTGGTGGACCTACTGGTCCTCTTGCACCAGAATGCCCAGGAGTTCCAGGTGCTCCCGGATCTCCCCTATCACCCTTCGGTCCTGGAACTCCGGTCGGCCCTTTAGGACCTTGCACGCCTGGTGGACAGTAGTCTTGAGTAGCCTTGCAGAAGCCTTGGACCACTTTATACTGAAAAAATCAATATTACTTAAGAGAAGAAGTCTGTAGTGGGAGAGCCATGCTATGCCACGTAAAGGCTATACAGATAGCCGGTGTTAGGGAAACAGACGGGTCACCTGATGGTAAGTGGCTACCGCTGGTTACCATAGTACAGGCTCTGCCTAGTTTGGGATCAGACAGCCGTGTGTGAGATAAAAAAAAACATTGAACGGGAATCGTAGCCGCGACTCACAATGTCTCTGTCAAATGCTGTGAAACTCATGTATTACTCACAGGCACTCTGGAGTAGCTCGTAAGCCAGACCCACGTGTCACCACCAGGCGCGGGACCTTTAGCACCAGTTCTTCTCATTTCTGCTGCGTCCTTCTCTTCAAGTTCAGGCCGCATTTTAGGATTGAAGAACTCAACGTGAGGAGTCACCGTGTTATCTTCCTGGTTCACTGGCTGTTTCTGAGTTTAAGTGATATATTACTAAATATTGTAATTAAAAACCAACACGAACAACGCAAATTCGTATATTATGACTAAGTAATCTACCAGTACCGACCATAGAGAAATAAAAATATCGTGTTGTATTTGTTCCCAATTTTTTTTTGTAAATTTAGCATGTATCTATTATTTATAACTTTTAATTCTGATTTTAAACAAAATGGTACAAACTAAGAAAAATTACCAGAAAAGAACGAATGAAATTTAATTTTTAATTTAAAATATACCATGTTTTAAAAACATTTTAACGCTTTTAAGGAACTATATGGTATTGGAAGGTATTTCTAATTTCTTTTTTCATCATGTATAGTGTTTAAATTATTAAGTATCCCCTTATCGTAACAGCCTAGTTTCATTGTCTCAATAAACTGAAACATCTAATAGAACTAGTTTATTAAAATATTCTAAATCTGTACATACCAACATCGCCTCCCTCTTTATCCTACGCGCAGTACTACCACTAATCTCCATCAAGTAAGCATCTATTTTTTCTTCTATTCTCTCATTTAGAATATTATTCATTAAATTTCTAGCTTCTAAATCATATTTCACTTCATTAGATTCAATAAAATTATAAGTATGTACTAGTAAAGAAACTATGGCACATGTGCACGCAAAAATCGAAAATTTCCGACAACATTTCGCCTCGGTAACGCTTGTAGACAGTTTTTTTTTAGTCGTATTTTTCATTTTGATATCACACACATATTCATTTACTGCACAATTTTAATACACAACACTTTTATAAGGTTATTTAATTAATTTTGTATCATATTTATCAATATTTTTGAGTGTAACACTGTGTAGTAGTCCAGTTATCTGAATGTGATCCTAACCAATGTGTTTCTTCCGGCACGATACGTGTGTATAGTTGCACAACGAGCCCGATAACCAGCAATTGAGCCCCGGGACTATTAAACCAATGAACTAACTCAATCAGACCATCGACAGCCGTAGTACGACAACCAAATTGTTTTGTTAACTGTTTTAATATTGCAGTATTTTTGGGTTTAGGATAATTTGAATAAATAGATTTGCACAATGATAAAATAAAAAACTTCTATAAACGAAACCGAATCGAGTCCAAAGTGAATATAAATTATTAAGGTCTAACATTTATTTTATTCAAATAGTAGAATGAAGTATGGATTGTGTATGTATGGAAGATGGATGGACTGTGTGAGTGGAGGATATGGCTAGGAAGGGAGTAAACAGTGATATGACGAATGATAGAGTAGAATGGAAGAATCCTACTTACTGGGCCGACCCCAAATAAAATTGGGATAAGGGTAGGCAGATGATGAGTAGAATGATGTAAAATATTGGTTAATATTTATTATGAACCTGTCTGGACGTCAATCCTTCTATTAATATAAAGGTCTTCAATTTTTATTCATACTTTTAAAAGCTGTCTCCTAATCATCTACATATTAATACGTGAAGGATTTTCTTTGTATTCCCTTTTTAAATAAATATGGCAAAACGAAGCCATCAACAGCCTTTAACAGTCCACTGCTGGACATAGCCTCTCCTTAGAAAGGAGGTTTGATTTTTTATATGTTTGTTACGCGATATCTCCGTCAATTATGGACCAATTTTCAAAATTCTTTTTGTAATCGAAAATGTCTGCTCCCGAGATGGTCTTATTATCACCAAGTCAGGATCTGCTGATATGATCCTGAAGAAATCGAGGGAAATCCTGAACTTTTACACCAGGACAACGTGTTTTAGTTTGTTTTTCTAGCTTTGGTTACAGAGATTTGTGCACAAGAGAGTAATAAATAAGATTAAAAAACATTTCGACAAAAAAATTGTTATGCAGTTATATTCATGTTTGTTACCTCAAAACTCTTTAATTTGTAAACGGATTTGGAAAATTCTTTTTTTTGTTTAAAAAAAATATTGTTGTAATAGAAAGGGTATACTCCCGAGGGAGTCCATTACAACCAAATCAAGATTTGATGATGGGATCCTGATAAATCGAGAGAGAGAGAGAGAGAGAGAGATTTATTATTTTGAGAGTTTGATTATATTATTAAACTATAACAGAAATGTTAATAATAAATATCCAAATAATCCATACTTACACTATAAATCTGAAAGTGAGTTGGTTTGTTTGTTACCCTTTCACGCCGAACCACTAAACCGATTTAAAAAATTCGACCCGAAATACAGGCTGAGCCGCGGGCAAAAGTATTTTTTTTTTTGTAATAAAATATATTGCAGTTATACTAATTCAACGATAATTAATGTTGTTGACTGCACGGATGGTGTAGTGGTTTAAGCGGTCGCCACGCCGCTTCCTATTGCGCTGAGTGTTGTGGGTTCAAACCCCTTTTTTTTTTTAATGGGACTAATCCCACCCACACGCCCACCACTGTAACTCCTGTACACCAGGATCCACAGCAGTGACCCACGAACACACCGAGTTATGACACTCTGGAAGTCCCAGGAAGAAATTAAACTGTCTTGGAACCCGCAACGAAATTAATCAGAAGAAAATTGGAGGAGTTGGAAATACAGTAAATCAACTTCCCTCCTTAGCAAAGCGGGAGACAAAATGAAGTAAAATAGGCATAACCCTTTTAAACAGGGAAGCACCACGGCCACAAAATATTATGGGTCCTACATGAGCTATATTTGATTTCTATAATATGTATGGCAGAACCGCCTAAACGCACGGAAATTCACCCTAGTTGACACAAGATCCCCATAGTATACCGCCCCAGATGTCACCTGCAAGCTATTCAGCATTATATTACGTTCATTATACCAAAGACTACATTCCCAGAGGATATGATGAGCAGACTGTTCATAATGAGAGTTAGGTGTTGAGCATTGACACAATGGTGACTCGACTAATTTAAATGAATACAACTTGCTCTTAAAGTTACCATGACCCGTAAGAAATTGAGCGACACAGTGATCCACCTCAAGCCATGTCCTCGACAACCGTTCGCGAACAGATGGAAAAAATTGGTAAAGATGGCGCCCCTTGGATGATTCGTCCCAGCGTTGCTGCCATTCGTCTATGAGGTCATTATAGACATCGGACTGCTGTTGAAGCAATCTTGTAATTTTACCGCGATCCCGCGCGCCCAAGAAATCGCATTCCATGTTTTGTCTTGAATAGTACATGGCTGCACGTCTCTGCACCTCAAAATCGACCGGAAGCACACCCGCCAACACCGGCAAAGCCTCACTGCTAACCGCCCTATATGCCTTGCACAAAAATATCAGTGCAAGTCGTTGTTCAAAGTTCAAACCCCATATGGGACAACACTTTGTGTGATTCACAAATTGTTGTTCTGAGTCTGGGTGTATTTTGTGTCCGTTTTATGTATGTTTGTAAAGTCCCCCGCGACACAGGATATATTCCTAATGCGGGAGATGTCTTTAATAACAAAAAAAAAAAAATTAAGACGCTTAGACCTTCAAGAAAATATAGTCGTATTTTATTCTTAGTCTTAATTAGTTTCTACACGCAACATGACCTGTTTCACCTTCGTGAATAGTTATTGTAGCTGCCTCGTTTGTTTTACTAACTATTAAGTAGTTATAATAAATATATATTAAGTATAAGACATCTAGTTTTCATCAGCTTGACTGGCCTGTTGGTCTAGTGGTTAGTGACCCTGACTGCTACTCCAGAGGTCGTGGGTTCGATTCCCGCCCAGGACAATTAATTGTGTGATGCGTACGGTCTTTTGTTCTGTGTCTGGGTGTAATTTATCTATAATATGTGTGTATTTAGAAATATATATATATAAGTATGTTTATCAGCAGTCTGGTTACCATAGCACAGGTTCTGCCTAGTTTGGGATCAGGCGGCCGTGTGTGAGATGTGTGGAAATGTATTTTAACCACCTTGTAGAACGAAAAGGTTGAAAAATCAGTTGAAGGTTCATTGTTATTTAAATGAAAACATTACTGCTGCGTTTAAAGTTGTCATTTAAACATTTCACATAATTTTGTTTATAATATAAATAATATAGCTATCTATACAGATAAAAAAGAATGATTATAATGAATAAGAAATATCATAAAACATGAATAGTCCAGTCCACTAGACAAGTTAAAATCTAAGTAATCTAGTTGCCTGGACTTTGTTTCGTAAGATTTTATGTATTTGATCTTCTTCTTCTCTGTCGTGTCGCTCTTGGCAGAGCGGTCGTGGTCACATTGAGACGTCCACGCCGGCGGCAGAAGTGGACACAGCCCTCCGTATAATCGCCCTCCATCTCTCCCTGTCTTTGATCTTAGATATATCAAAATCTGACGATACTCTTGAATGCAACCGATGCTCAAAGTAAACCCGCGTCATCACATCAACTGCCTTTAATAGTCCACTGCTGGACATAAACCTCTCCTTAGAAAGGAGGTTTAGACCTGCGTAATCCCTTCTTATTCTTTTATCGTATTTTGAAAAAAAAAAGAAAAGAAAGAATCAGAAATAAAACGTATCTTGGGTATCCTAACAAAAGAAGCTTCCGTTACTGGTCATGGGTATAAGAATTTTCATCAAGAGGAACCTCGCGCCTTCTTCATCCAAGCCCTTTGCATTTCAAATTCAAAATATCTTTTTTTCATAAGAAATTTAAAATTGTTTGAAATCGTCTTTTTATGCAGACTCTAAAGTCGTATATCAACACACGCAATAGCAACAATCTCTGTTTTGTCAAATAGGGAGCGTCCATTAGTTACGTAAAGGGCTTTCGGCGATTTTTTGACCTCCCCTGGTGAGATGTCGTGAGATTTGATTAAAGGATTTGATGCAAAGGAGAAGTCTCGCCCTGGGGTAACCGCCTTCATGATAACGGTATCCCATATGCCAGGTAAGTACGGGTATTTGTATAAATAAGAGCTACTATAGTTAAACCGCCGTAAGCTTGGCCCTCCTGATGGTTTGCGGGACGCGGGGCGGGTGATGCGCTCGGCTATACATGACACGATGTACTAACTCGATATCTTCAGATTTATTTGTTTGAGATTTAATCTACACACGATGTAATAAAAATCGAATTTATTTCCATGTATTATAATGTCAGTGTATTGTAAGTTTTTATGATTAATTGTAAAATTTAATACTGTAAAATAATTTTAATCAAATCACCTTATCTTCATCATGTAAATTATATTCAGATACAATTTAAAAATTAAGTAAAATAATAAATATTCTTTATTAGCACTTTAACAGTAGAACCTCTGTAAGCCGAATTTCAAGTTTTTAAATCTTTTTGTGACGCAGAGTCGGCAGATTATCCATGTTGCAAAATAATACCGTGTGTAGCAGTCTTAAGAAAAATAACACGTACAGCCATGCTTTCACGTCAGTCACTGCCGGCGGACAGCGATGCACTAGCTAATTGGTTGAATGCACCCCCGCCCCGCGTCCCCCAAACCATCAGGAGGGCCAAGCTCACGGCGGTTTAACTATAGCTTTTGCGTGTATGTCGCTTCTCGCGGTAAAAAATAGCCTATATTCTGCTTTAAGAATTAAAGTCGGTTCAATGATTTAGCCGTGAAAGCCCAAGGGACGCACAGAATTACTTTCGCATTTACACCCTTAAAGGATGATTTTGATTGATTTGATTTTCAAACTATCTGCATACAAAATTTCATCTAAATCGACACAGTGGTTATTGATTCCCTATACCAAACTTCCACTTCCCTTTTCACCCTTTAAGGGATGATTTCTGGGATAAAAACTATCTCATGTCTTCCCCGGAACTCGAACTATTTCTATAGCAAATTTCATCTAAATCGGTTTAGCGGTTTAAGCGTGAAGACTTAACACACAAACACATCGTCGCATTTTTAATATTAGAATGAATTAATTATTTACAAAAGAGTTGAAGTTCAAACTCGAGTAAAGATTAAACCCAAACACTACGTTCGTATATATAAATCGTCAAACCCAACTCTTTTCAAAACCGCGTTACATTCGTATCATTAGACAATGGTTTAATCGTATTAAAAAGTATTTAACACGATAATAGGATAACATTTGGACAGTATAGTAACCCGTATAACAGTACATATTAAAGGTTTATAAGAAAAGACTATTTCACTTCGAAATCATGAGGCGATCATCTCCTGGGGAAAATACTTCTGTTGCACGGAAGACCGCAGTGAACCAGAAATGGCGTGTTGCATGTTTTTAAGTAGGAACATCAGATATACATCCTAGGTTTAGCAATGTTAAAGAAAGATCACGAGTGTTGCCAATTTATAAGTATCAGTGACAGGTAACCAACTCCTACACCATGTTTTATATTTACTAACTAGATGATTACTAAAATTCTAACGAAAAAATCATAATTCAAATATGGCATTCGGTAGTATTATTAAAATTTTAGTCTTATAGTATCGCATTCCACGGGAAGCCATCGTACCAGTTTGAAGTTCCCTCAAGGCCTTCGCGCATGCGTACAAATGTGTGTCAAGGTCGTGACCTGGTCTGCAAGGTCGTCACTGTTTAGCATCCACTGACACTACAGCCTTTAGTAGAACTACACGTCCCTGGAAAGAATAATGAATCTAGTGCCTCTGTTACCCATAGAAGGTAAGTCAAGTTGTTTGAGAAGTTTATTATGTCATCGAAATAGATTAGAATTTTGACTGTCATTTGAAAGAATGTTACTTTGCTGAGCCTTGGGTATAAGTAGGTTAAGTTTTGATCTAATTTTGTTTTCGTTGTTCACTTTTTGTCGCACACGAAGACTTCTTTTAAAGAATACTTAACTAATTTTAATTACACTTATATTTTCGTTTATTGATCGTTAGTAGCATTGCGATTACGAAGACAGAATCTTACCAAATTATTATACAGAGTTTAGCGTTTGTTGGAATTTGTAAATTTTAATAAAATTTTGCGTCCATTAACAAAGTTGTTAGCAGATACTTATATACTTAGGTTTCTTAAAATTGTTGTGCACGTACAGTTCAACCAAAATTATTCTAATATTAAGTAGACGGGTAAATCCAATTAGGATTAATAATAATTTCTCACGGCTGCGGTGTGAAGTCATCATCATCATCATCAACAGCCTATACTAGTCCACTGCTGGACATAGGCCTCTCCTTAGAAAGGAGGTTTTGGCCTACTATACCACCGGTGTGAAGTAATCATTCATATCTCCATTATCATCATAATCAGGTGCTTTTCATGGAAATATTGTAGTTTGAATTTATTTTTCTTACAGTTTTATATTGAAAATGCATCGTTCACAGTCATCTTTTATGCGGGGTAAGGTTAACCTCTTAATTATGAGTGTGTGTGTTGATGTTTACCCGTTGTATAGGCTTGAAAACATATTCCGTCATTGTTTTGACTTTTGTCATATTTTGACATATGCTTGGTCAAAAAAAATTTTGCAGTTAAAATTTTATATTAAATACTAGCTTTTGTCCGTGTTTTCACCCGCTTGTATGTTGGATATTGCGGTAAAACGTAGTCTATGTTACTCGCTGATAATGTAGCTTTTCATAGGTAAAAGAATTTTCAAGATCGGTTTAGTGGTTTAGGCGTGAAAGCGTAACCAACAAACAAACAAAAAAACTCACTTTCACATTTACAATGTAAGTAAGGATATGTGTAACCTACAGTGTTCTTGTGTTATACTTCTTTATATAAACTGTTAATTTCACAACATTCATTAACTGGTTTTTAGACGATATTATTTAATGATTATGTACTTCCTCTGTATTCTTCTTAGTTAGACATATCATGCATTGTACAATTAAATTTATAAAATTTACCATGTTGTTAAAATATTTTTATTGTTTAAAATATTTTTTCAATTTCAATGCAAAATGTTTGTTAAACCTCTAATATATAACATGAACTGATTATTATTTAAGCGACGACGAAGTTTTTAGTTATAAACACCATCAATTAATAAAAAACATCCTAGATGTGTATCTATGGCCGATAGACTATCGTTAAAGCAATTTATTTAATCATTTTTATTGAAACTAATGAATTTATAGCGCTGGAATTGGTACTCATTTAGAAATTGTTTTTAGAGCCTGCTATGTCTGTACGCAAATATACTTACGTATTATTTAATTTTAAATGTTATAGAAAAGTAAAGTATAGTAAACGTAAGTTTTAGATGAAGGAAACAACTAACTAAAACAGAAAAACATTATTGTTTTTTGTTGTTTATACAAATGTGCTTTAAGTGTTGTTTGTTCTAACTGCCTTTCTTATACGAGTAGTTAGTGGGCTCGAACTTTACCTGATCTTTATCAGCTCTAGCTATTGCATACACTCACGCTATTCATATAAGTAACAGTATCCTTTATCTTCCATTGCCTTTCCTTCTTTCTTATATATCCCATTCAGTATACTTCCATTTTCCCATATGAAATTCCTTAAATTACCGGTTGGCGACAAAAAGCTTGCGTCCATTACGTGAGACTAAATTTTGAATAAAAAATGTTGGAGTTTAATATACGCTCTGCCTAATTATACCTCCTAATGCTTATTTTATTAAACTTTTTATGTTGATATTACTTATAAGAATATTTTATATCATACCTAAACATTGTACATTGTCGGTTTGTTAATTAGACAACGTTATTTAGGCAAACTAAAAGTTACTAAAGTTTGTTTTCGGATGGTTGTGAAATTGAGATTTTAATGTGAATTCTACAAACAGTCTTAATAACTTACTAACATCAGATCCTAAAATCTTAAAAATACTTATTTACAGCATGCAGTGTCCAAGCTCTCGAAGATTACGATACGCCTCGTGCTCCACTTATCCGGCAAGTTTCACTAGATGAGGAACGTCGTGATGAGTGTCAAGGCCATTGGCGAGGACCAGAACTGCAAGGAGAAGAAGAGGAAAGAGGAGTCAGGTTATTCAGGGCACTGCTACTGCAGCATTTGAGGCTTGAGGAGTTAAGGCCGCCGCCTTGTATTGCGGCACCGGCAAAACCTGATAAGAGGTAAATATTTTTTAAAGTAATTCTTTATTTCATGTAGTACTGTTACAAAATGGCTAACGCAAAACACTAACTGGTAAAAATTTAAAGTTTTAACTACTTTCGATTGCTTTGAATCGTAGATAAAGGTCTATTACGACAATAGACTTTTGTCTACGATTCAATATTATAATAAGAGCAGCTTAGACGGTTAAGTAAATACATTTGGTTCTCAATCTTGGACGGCCATACCCTCGGCCTCTTCAGATAGTGCATTCTTACTCTCGTTTTATGTCCGAGACTTGCAGTATTCTTGACCTTAGATCAATGGTCCTATCCATTTTCCTTACCCCCATTGACCTTGTTTCTTTGTTCTGAAAACGATTACATTTCGAACGAACGATTAAATTAGGCAGAGAACCGCCAAAAAAAAAAACTAGTTGTTTGTGCCATCTCATTCATTCCTGAAGTCCTGACACAAGATAGGCGATGCATTTCATAATGATGCTGATTGATGAATGATGATTTCCAGAGGCTGGTGGTTATATTGGCGTGATTGGCGAGCATTAGAGCGAGCAGCCCGCCGGTTCAGGGAGACGAAAGCACGTGCCAGGCTAGCTGCTCGAGTAGAACATATATCCCTGCTGAGTTTAGATGAAGTAGAGTTTGAAGATATCATGCAAGAGCTGTGTCAGGTATTAACGCTTAAAACTTAATAAACAATTAGGCTGAGAGTAGTATCTAGTATCAAGTAGGGCACAACGCTACGCATTGAGATTATAGTTCTTAATTCCGATACGCGCTTGCAGTACCATCTGGTGATCGAATATCGGAAGATTATAGAAACTTCTAGGTGCCTTATTGTACGTGGTTTTGTAACTGGTCGTTACTTTGTTCCTTTATTACTGGGGTTGCGTATATGTACAGAGAGAAATAATAAGTCTATGAACAACTTATTTAAATTTATTAATCACGACTGTATACAATATATGGGTGTGCTGTAGTACGGTATACAAGACGACCACGGGACAACTGTGGTTCACAGCGCACTACAGTACCGATAACTCAAAACGTTGCGTCAGCATTCCCGCAACACTATTTCCCTCTTTTTTAAAAAAATATTTATATTTTTTTTTTTTTTTACAACACAAAATCTTAATTCTAATCAGTATATTTATCAAACAATATTTCTTGTGAATTTACTTTGTCACCAAAGGTGACATCATCTTTCTGCTCAATCAACAGTTTGCAACTTAATATGAGTACTATGCTATGTATTGTTATGCGATAAGCCTGTGAATACATTCCAACATTGTAATAGCGACAAAAGTTTTAACATTTATTATCACGCTATTTAAAATTTAGATATCAGCAGCGTACTTAAATATTAATTTACCATGACTTTAACACAATTATTTATTCTTATATTACGCATATAATATAATATGTTTGGGTTACATTTTGTTATCCTTTCTTGACATCGTTGTGGCCGGACACCAACAACACAAACCATGCAGCTTGTTCTATGACCGAATAGCAAAATATAACACACACTATTAAATCGTTACAAAATAATTTCAATCACATACACACTTAATAACATGAATGCACGACGATTTCTCGATCAAATAATCAGTAAACCACTTTATGAGGTGCAGACGTTCCATTATTAATTTGCGGCGGTTGCATAGTTTCTACCTTAATATTTGGTAAGGTTATACAACTAGCAACCATTTCTTTCTTCACCCATCTGACGCCTTTAGCACATTTTCGTTTTAATGCATATCCAATCACTATAATCAGTAGTACTATAATAATTATCATAACGATACCAATCATATTCAACTTGTTATCTACTTGAGCTGTGCTGGATATATTTTCGTTAACAACAACTTTGTCCTTTGTCTGTAAGTTGCCCATTTCCTAATTAATCAACTACGACGTACAGGTATCAAACACTAAATGAATTTATAATGCATTTTCTATTTCATATTAACACGTAATTATATAACCAAATGTCCTAGTTAAATTATTGTCTAATCAGCAAAATTAATTGTTACAAATACTTCATTGGCTTTTTGCTGACTCGTCCTGTTCTCGTAGTATAACCAAAGCTACTGGGTTCGGCTCTTTGAAAAGTTACTTTTTTCTGAACTTTTTGACAGACAGTTTTACCACTATTATCTACTACTTCCGGTTGTACATTATCCTCTGCTAACTTAATGCAGGTTTAAGACGGTCTATAGAAACTCTAAGTTGTCTGTCTGGCAATTGTATACAAAAAACTTTATCAGTTCTATTAATGACGCGATATGGTCCGTCGTAAGGAGGTTGTAACGGTTTCCTTACTGCGTCATTTCGAACAAAAACATAATCGCACGTATACAAATCTTTATGCACAAAAATTTTGCGTGATGATCTATTTTCTCTACTAGACGGTTTATATTCGTCAATAACTTCTTTTAACTTGCTAACGTAATCATTATCATCACACGATTTCACATTGCTTCCATCATAAAAATCACCAGGTAATCTAATATTATTACCATACAACATTTGTGCAGCGGTTACGCCTGTATCTAACCTAATTGTCGTGCGTAATCCTAACATTACAGTTGCCAGTTCATCTACCCAAGACTTATTGCTTAAACGAGCTGTAATTGCAGTTTTCAACGATCTATGCCAACGTTCTACTGTTCCATTGCACTGAGGATGATACGGGGTGGTTCTTGACTTTTTAATTCCCATTAATAACATTAGTTGTCTAAATAAGTTACTTTCAAATTGTCGACCTTGATCGCTTGTAAGTTTAACTGGACAACCAAAACGACTAATCCAACCCTCGTATAACGTCTTTGCGACTACTTCTGCAGTCATTTCCTTTATAGGAAAAGCTTCTGGCCAACGTGTAAATCTATCCACTATGGTTAAACAATACCTATATCCTTCAGTTGTGATTGGCAAATGACCTATTAAATCTATATGTATATGCTCAAAACGTTTAGTAATCTCAAATTGTCCTAAATTAGATACTGTATGCTTCTGTATTTTCGCTCGTTGACAATTTATACATGTTTTGGCCCAATTACCGATGTCTCTATTCATATTTGGCCAAAAATATCTATCTGCTATTATTTTTCTACTAGCTCTAATGCCTGGATGGCTCAAGTTATGTATCGAATCAAAAGCTAAACGCCTAAATTGTTCCGGTAAATAAGGACGTATGTTATTAGTAGATGTTTCGCAAACAACATGCTTATTGGGTACATTTAAAGTTACACGCTTAAATATCAACTTACAGTTGTTATCCGATTCACTAAGAATTTTTGCAAGCTGTTCGTCGACTTCCTGCGCAACTGCCAGTTCTGCGAAGTCGATAATCGTGGGACTTGTTATTGTTTCAATTCTAGATAATGTGTCCGCTACAATATTATTTTGACCACTAATATGCCTTATATCAGAACTAAATTCACTAATAAACATGATTTGCCTGGCCCGCCTTGATGTTTCTCTATTTGTACCTGATTTCGTAAATGCAAAAGATAAAGGCTTATGATCAGTATAAATAATTAAATTTTGACCTTCAATTAAATAACGAAAATGAATTATGGCTAAATAAATTGCTAAAAGTTCTCTATCATACGTGCTATATTTCTTTTGCACTTCTGTTAACTTTTTAGAAAAATAACCTAAAGGTTTCCATTTGTCAGTAATTTTTTGTTGTAATACTGCACCTACGCAATTGTCTGACGCATCTGTCATTAATGAGAACGGTGTGTCTATAGATGGATAACCTAACAATGCAGCATTTTTAAGATCTTCCTTACATTGTTCAAAATTTTGTTCGGCCTCTATTGTCCAATTAATTTTACTTTTATCTTTACGTTTAGAAGAACTTAAATACTTATATAAATGTAATTGGTGGGCTGCCGAATGCGGTATGTGTGCTCTATAAAAATTTAACATACCCATAAATCTTCTTAGTTCCTCAATAGTGTTAGGTTTTGGAAAATCAATAATAGCTTTAACCTTATCCGTTAAAGGTATAATTCCTTCAGTTGTGACTTCGTAACCTAAAAAATCTAATTTTGTCTTTCCGAAACTACTTTTAGCGAAATTAATTGTTATCCCATACTCGTTAAATCTTTCAAAAACTTTAAGTAAATGCTGTTTATGCTCGGTTTCATTATCTGAGGCAATTATTACATCATCCAAATAATTAAATAAAAAATCTAAACCTTGTAAGACGGTGTGGTGCATAAAGCGCTGAAAAGTTTGCGCTGCATTACGCAATCCGAAAGGCATTCGCATAAATTCAAATAACCCAAAAGGTGTTATGACAGCCGTTTTCTCAATGTCATTTTCGGCTACGGGTATACAATTATATGCTCTATTTATATCTAACTTCGTAAATATTTTCTTATTCGACAAATTATACATAAAATCGTGAAGACGGGGAACTGGATAACGATCCGGTTTAGTAATCGAATTTAAACGTCTATAATCACCGCAAGGTCTAATATTTCCATCCTTCTTTGGCACGATATGTAAAGGACTTGCCCAAGCGCTATTACTCGGCCTACAAATCCCAAGCTCTTGCATAACTTTAAATTCATTTTTAGCTTTAACATACCTGTCTGGTGGTAGCTGCCTACTTTTCACGTGCACTGGTGGTCCTGTGGTCTCTATGTGATGACAAACGCCATGTTTAGGTGTCTCCTTATATGAAACAGGCATAGTTAACTCGGGAAACTTACATAATAAATCATAATAAGGGCAATTATCAACAATTGTCTTTACAGTGGACTCAGTTGAACTCGAAATGGTACCTCTAATGCTTAAATTAGTTAACTGATCGATTAATCTTCGTCCGTTCAAATCAATTAACAGCTTATGCTTAGCTAAGAAGTCAGCACCTAATATTGGTTGTTGTACGTCCGCTAATATAAATAACCAACGGAAAGCTCTTCTAAGGTTAAGATCTAACTCTAAAAAATGCGTACCATATGTATTAATCTCGGTTCCATTCGCGGCATACAATTTATAACGTACATTATTTTTATTACCTTTAATATGTGCTATGCTGCGGGGTAGCATAGACACATTAGCACCGCTATCCACTAAGAAGTTAAGTTAAGTTACTAGTTTTCCTGTCCATCACACAAAGACGGTTGTTAGAATCTACGCGGCCACAGCCTCCCGTCGTCGGCTGCACCGACGTTAGTTTTCCGACGGCTTGACATCTTTCTTCCAGTTGCACGGCTGGACGCACTTATTTGCCCGATTCTTGTATCGATAATGATAGTAACACAACCAATTGGGATCTTCAGGTGTCTTCCCACGCGTCCTTGACTCTGATGACGATCGCGATCTTGATCCGTAACGCCTTCTGTTACTTTTCTGCCAGTGCCTTCTTGATCTAGTTTCTAATTTTTCAAGTCTTTCGCTTATTTTATCAAGGTGGGCTATTACCAAATCGTCTTTATTCAAGGTCAGCGATTTTCCTTCCACCGCAGCGATACTGGGTATTGGCGTCGCGGTCTCCATTACCTTATCCGCGATAGTTGCTAATTTTTCTAAATCATCTTCATTTGTCACAGCCAATACTCCTCTGACTGATGGTGGTAGGTGATTTTGCCACATCACCACTAGTGTCTCGTTGGTGACTCTATTGCGAGCTAGGTCCTGCATTTTT